ATATATATATATATATATATATATATATATATATATATATATGTGTGTGTATGTGGGTCAAAGACAGATGTCCGCATCAAAATAAATTTACAAAAGTGATTTTATGTCCATAGAGAGCACATTAAATGCAAGTAAAGTGTCTACTTTTAAGGTTTCAAATAAGTTTTTGGAGAATAAAATGTCAAAATTGGGTTGGAATAATGTTCCATTGTCATTCAGTGTAACACTTATAGTTATGTAAAAATTCAAACAACATGCTTATTCTGACCTGTACATATTAAAATATATAAAAGAATAAGTGAGCATATTAAATTTTAGTAAAAAATTCTTACTGACAAATAGGCAAAACCTAGGATAGTGGCACATTTAAAAAATTTTAAATAACTAATTAGTATTTGGGATGAAAGTAATTCATTTTTTATCAATCATATCAATCATAAATTGATTTTTGTTGTAAATATGCCTGACAAGATTGTTACACTGAATGGCATTTTAGAGGGTGTCTTCTGTAAATCAGGGAAAAATGTATGATATTTATTTATTTTTTGTTGGAAAAACAACAATATAAAGCAGTATTGTTTTTATGCTTAAACCCTTTTTCGCCTTTGACCCATATATATATATATATATATATACACACACTTTTTTATTAAGAATAATTATTGTTGTATTTTATTGCTATGGCAATAAGTGTGTAGGTTTTTGTATTTTATATATTTTAATATAATATTTTAATAATTATTATTGTGTTTTTGTTTATTACTGTGGTATTTTTATTGATATAACTAGTAAATTTATTATACTAATTTATAGTACCGTAATATGTTCTTACGATACTCTTAACAGCACATAACATAATTTTATATATATATATATATATATATATATAATTGCTATATATACATTTTATTTTACTATAACTTTTATTATAATACTAATATTACATATATTAAAACAATAATAACTTAAATAATAATTATTATATTATGCATTATAAAATAATATACAATAAATTATTATTATTTTAATATAATTTAACAAAACAAAATGGTAAAGTTTTGATATCTTTAATGGTAATTATCCACTACCTGTGGTCCTGTAGTTGTAAAAGGGCTGTGCGACTCTCATTACATGCTAATGATAATGCAATATTCCTCTCTCCATTCAGAGAGAACCACAGTGAGATTGAGCGTCGCCGGCGTAACAAGATGACCCTGTACATCACAGAGCTGTCGGACATGGTGCCCACCTGCAGCGCGCTAGCGAGGAAACCAGACAAGCTCACCATCCTGCGCATGGCCGTCTCACACATGAAGTCCATGAGGGGAACGGGTAACAAGTCAACTGACGGCGCTTACAAACCCTCCTTCCTGACTGAACAGGTGAGAAATCACTCGCCTGAAACATTCGACAAAACAACAAAGGACAAAAAATGGCCTTAAAATCATACATTGGCATTTATTCACCCTATAAAGCCTACTGTATCATACTTGATATGTGACCCTGGAACACAAAAGCAGTCTTAAGTCGCTGGGGTATATTTGTAGCAATATCCAAAAATACATTGTATGGGTCAAAATTATAGATTTTTCTTTTATGCCAAAAATCATTAGGATATTAAGTAAAGATCATGTTCCACGAAGATATTTTGTAAATGTCCTACTGTACATATTTTAAAATTTTAATTTTTGATTAGTAATATGCATTGCTAAGAACTTCATTTGGACAAACTTAAAGGCGATTTTCTCTATATTTAGATTTTTTTTGCACCCTCAGATTCCAGATTCTCAAATAATTGTATCTCGATGCCAAAAATCATTAGGATATTAAGTAAAGATCATGTTCCACGAAGATATTTTGTAAATGTCCTACTGTACATATTTTAAAATTTTAATTTTTGATTAGTAATATGCATTGCTAAGAACTTCATTTGGACAAACTTAAAGGCGATTTTCTCTATATTTAGATTTTTTTTGCACCCTCAGATTCCAGATTCTCAAATAATTGTATCTCGACCAAATATTGTCCAATCCTAACAAACCATACATCAATGGAAAGCGTATGTATTCAGCTTTCAGATGATGTATACATCTCAATTTGGAAAAATTTACCCTTATGCTGGTTTTGTGGTCCAGGGTCACATATGCACATTTTCGGAGGCCTCTAAATGATCAACATTATCAAAACTTTAAAAACCTGTTGTTCAAAATCTACTAGATGCCTTCTGTTTTCAGATTGATAGTTGATACTTTTTTATTTTATTTTATTTTTATTTTTTTTAGCAATTAAGAGGTATTTTAGAATAATTGTAAAACACTCACTAGACATTGGTTATTATTATCTTATTTTTTTTCTTTTTTTTTAAATCATGGTAAAATTTAAGTATCAAATATGATCATCAGGCTTGAGGAAGGTTTATTTGTTTGTCTCTCAATCATCACTGTATTGCACTGCATTATATGTTCTGAAACTACAGAGCTTTGTTCATAAAACTAATCATTTAAATATTACCTTGCTAAGGCAATTGATATTTATATGCATTTTATGTAAGTAGTCTGTTGTACTGTAATAAGGATCTCATTGATTTACATTACAAGCTATCAGAATCATATCTTATTTTTTGGCCATATAAATATCAACAGCTGCACCAAATCGCATATTTTTGCTCATTTATGAATACAATTAGGTGTTTGTTCCTCCTCAAATATGAGCTTCATATTCTCTCTATATCATACTATATGAGCCATAAAATACTGATGCATCAAATATTATACTCAACAAAATGCACATGCTTTTTTCAGACTATTATTTCTTATGCCAGGCTTTACAGGGCTAATATTGCTATTAAAATACCCAAAATATACTATATTTTTATGCTATATGTACGATATTCCATACCTAAACATATGCAAAATGTGTATAAAAAAACACTTTTGAAAGTCCTTTAAGCATCATTTGAAACTGTCACAGGAACTGAAGCACTTGATTCTGGAGGCGGCTGACGGCTTCCTGTTCGTGGTGGCGGCCGAGACGGGTCGCGTTATCTACGTATCAGATTCTGTCACTCCTGTTCTGAACCAGCTGCAGTCCGAGTGGTTTGGCAGCACGCTCTTTGAGCAGGTCCATCCGGATGACGTGGACAAACTGAGGGAACAGCTGAGCACATCTGAGAACTCAATGACAGGTGAGAGACAGACACTCAATACTGGTGGATCGCTGGGGAACAGGGAATTATCGGGCTTCTCTCGCTTCAGAATCGCAGCGCAACATTGTCCGCAGCACAAGTTCTTACGGCTGGGCGATGGATAAGATAAATGTCAGGCTTAGCTTTAGTCATGGAGTCAGACTCAGCAGTTTGGAAGAGCTGAGCCAACACATTTCCATCTCAGTCTGGTTGAATTCCTGGCAATTCATATTTTTGGTGCTTACAACATGTGTTTTGTCATATTGGGACTTGAACTTGCAAAGTTAATTGAATTCAAATGACTGTTATTATATGATGATATATTGAATTAAAAGCGGAATGACAATACAACTACTATACTATATATATATATATATATACTATAGGGGAAGTCATGGCCTAATGGTTGGAGAGTCGGACTCGTAACCCAAAGGTTGCGGGTTCGAGTCTCATACCAGCAGGGATTGTAGGTGGCGGGAGTGAATGTACAGCGCTCTCTTCCACCTTCAATACCACGACTGAGGTGCCCTTGTGTGTGTGTTCACTGCTGTGTGTGTGCACTTTGGATGGGATAAATGCAGAGCACTAATTCCGAGTATGGGTCACCATACTTGGCCACATGTCACGTCACTTTATACTCACTTTATATAATAATAGGTTGTAGATTCTTTATAATAAAAAAAATCATGTTATTTTAAAAGGATTTGATATTTGATCAAAAATACAGTAAAAATGAGATATTGTGAAATATTACAATTTCAAATAGATGTTTTCTTTATCCATCCAAAGTGCACACACACAGCAGTGAACACACACACACCGTGAACACACACCCGGAGCAGTGGGCAGCCATTATTTTGCTGCGGCGCCCGGGGAGCAGTTGGGGGTTCGGTGCCTTGCTCAAGGGCTCCTCAGTCGTGGTATTGAAGGTGGGAGAGAGCGCTGTACATTCACTCCCCCCACCTACAATCCCTGCCGGTACGAGACTCGAACCCGCAACCTTTGGGTTACGAGTCCGACTCTCTAACAATTAGGCCACGACTTCCACCTTATTATTATTACATAATCACAATTATTCCTGTGATTTCAAAGCTGAATTTTCAGCATCATTCCTCCAGTCTTCAGTGTCACATGATCCTTCAGAAATCATTCTAATATGCTGATTTGCTGCTCAAGAAACACTTTTTTTATTATTATCAGTGTTCAAAATAGTCGTGCTGCTTCATATTGTTGTGGAAACCATGATGCATTTTTATTCAGGATTCTTTGATGAATAGAAAGTTCAAAAGGATTTATTTTAAATGGAAATGTGTTGTAACATAAAAGTCTTCACTGTCACTTTTGATCATTTTAATGCAATTTTGCTGAATAATCGTAATAATTTCTTGCAATGTCAAGAATTCACAGCGATGCTCGTGAGACAAGATAGCAAAAACACTCAAGGGTAAATGTAAATTGACTATTTAATTGATTTTAAGAAGCATTTTAAGTGGACTTCAAGGAAAAACATACAGTGCTACACAACAGTGTAGTGCTGAATGCGTTCTCTTTTAATATTTCTCTGCAGGGAACATTGATGCGCGTACAGATGCCTCATTAGTATTTGAGGCGAGAGCGAGTCAGCGGTATAACTTTAATCAGCTGTGAGGTTTTCAAACGGACCGCTGATTGTTTATGACAATTTGCATTCAAAGTTTGAACAAACAGTTGAAAATCCAGCTAATGAACTTTCTGAGAACATAATTGCAAAAGTTGGCTTTTCATTTTTTTTTTAATAGAACAAAAACGAGTGCTTGCATGATCAGAATGTCAAAGGATTCCGTGAACATAAATATGTGATAGACATTCAAGTCAATGTTGAGGGAGAATCATATACAGCTGTTACACTGTAATGTTTGAGTAAAGATGATTCCTTTAAACCAAATGGTTTGTATAGATTTAGCTTTGCTTGTTTCGATCTCAGACTTTGACTTGGCCCTCTCAGACATGGAAACTCACTCTGTTAATGTTAAATATCATAGTCATGTTGCATCAATCTTGTCTTTTTTGGGAATTTGATCACAGACAGATGTTTTGACATTCTACTGCCAAATTTACTGGCAGAATTCAGTGGTTCTGTGGAAATGGTTGCTATGTGATGTACATATTCCCTCTCCGTTAACCCCACGTTCCAATTAGGTTTTGGTGTTGGCATGCACTGATTTGTTTTCTGCAGACATAAAGCTTTGTTTGTCTTCCAGAAAGTTTAATTTTATTTGTACATTGTTCATGCGCGATTCTGATGATATTAAACTAACTTTGACAGAGAGCAGCTTTTTTTGGAGAGCAGTTTTTTTGTCATTTATAGTACCAATAAACAGAGTAAAGATTAAAAATAGTTGACTAATTAAAATGGACTGATTTTATTTGTGACCATTTTAGGTTCAGTATAGCACTGTGGATGATTGCTGCTATTAGATGATTAGATCACGTTTTTGGGGCTGATGCATAAGTTTTAGATATTTGTTTTTCTACTCCCTCCTTAGTGACTTTTGAACTGTTTCTTATATATTCAACCACACAAGGAGTTGTATAATACCAGGAGAAAGCTATCCATCAGCATTCACATTCATCTTCAAGGAATTGTTCACCCAAAAATGAAAATTTGTAGAATATTTACTGAAGATGTAGATGAGTTTGTTTCTTCATCAGAACAGACTTGGAGAAATGTAGCATTGCATCACTTGCTCACCAGTGGATGTTCTGCAGTGAATGGGTGCCGTCAGAATGAGAGTCCAAACAGCTGATAAAAACATCACAATAATCCACAGATTAACCTCTTGAAGTGAAAAGCTACATGTTTGCAAAAAACTAATTCATCAAGAAGTTTTTGACTTCAAACAAGCCCTCTATCCATAATATTGTTTACTCCAGTGAAAAAGTCATCTTGTCTGAATCAAGAGAGAAATATGCACAGATCAAACACTGTTTACAAACAAAAAGTGTCCAAAACAGTTCTAAACAAATATGTCGGTAGATTTTGATGTGAGCGACAACAGGAGATGGATCTTTTTAACTGGAGGAAACGGTACTATGAATTATGGACTTATATTTTGGCCAGAAGTGACGGTTTAAAGTTAAAATGCCATTGCTGAGCAAGTGATGTAATGCTACATTTCTCCAAATCTGTTTCGATGAAGAAACAAACTCCTCTACATCTAGGATGGCCTGAGAATGCAAATTTTAATTTTTAGGTGAACTATTCTTTTAATTGCAATTGAAGACTGCAAATTCAATCAGAGGCAAAGAGTATTTCTGATTGGCCGGACCACTCATGAGACTCTTTTTGCTGTTTACCTAGGCTAGTGCTGTCACAGAGACTGATTTGATTTCTCCAGACATCTATTTCAATGATATCTGTCAGATAGATCAGCATTTTATGCATGGTATTATCCCAAAATTGCTTGCAGTACATTTAATGCAAGTTATTTTTAAATTGTCTTTGCATATTATAGGGAGTTCAACTGCTTCACCACTGTGCAATATAAATGCATGCTTACTGAATCATGCACGTGTCCTCAATGCTCTAAATAATGTAAACTTGCTCACAGTAAGTGTTTCACTTTGTGTGTTTCTCCACTAGAAGGCGCTAGACACATACAGCAAACACAGCCTCTTTTCATCATTTGTGGACACCCTCAACATTTTTGAGTAAACCACAGGATGAATTTCTCTCCTCAGATACTGACAAAAATCAAATAAAATTTACTGTGGGCAATCTTTCCATCTCATCCTCATTGAAATGCTGCTGAATATTTTGAAGGAGTCATGTAATTTTGAATGCATAATCTGTCAGATATTCCTTCAGATATGCATTGGCAAGGTTATTTTAGTTTGGCCTTTTTTGGTTTTTATTTTTAATACTATTTTCAAGTTTCTTCAATGCCTTTGTTAATTTTAATTCAGTTTTTATATCAAGGAAATTGTTTATTTTATTTTATTTTACCAAAGTTACTTTTTTTTTTTTTTTACAAAGTGACTTGCATTGCATTAAAGTTGTGAATTTAACAAGTTCACACATTCCCTGAATGAATATTGAATGATATTTTTTTCTATTATTATTATTATTATTATTATTTTAGTTTCAGTTTTAGTCTTGTAGTTAGGATATATGTGACCCTGGATCACAAAAGCAGTCTTAAGTCGCTGGGGTATATTTGTAGCAATAGCCAAAAATATATTGTATGGGTCAAAATTATTGATTTTTCTTTTATGCCAAAAATCATTAGTATATTAAGTAAAGATCATGTTCCATGAAGATATTTTGTAAATTTCCTACCATAAATATATCAAAACTTAATTTTTGATTAGTAATATGCATTGCTAAGGACTTCATTTGGACAACTTTAAAGGCGATTTTCTCATTATTTAGATTTATTTGCACCCTCAGATTCCAGATCTTCAAATAGTCGTGTCTCGGCCAAATATTGTCCTATCCTAACAAACCATTCATCAATGGAAAGCTTATTTATTCAGTTTCCGATTGTTTTAAATCTCAATTTTGAAAAATTGACACTTAAGACTGGCTTTGTGGTTTCCTCCTGGTGCATATTTAGTGGGGTCCAGAAATGTCCACATCTGGGGTTTCATTTATTTTCTTTCATTTAAACTTTTTATTTTTTATTTTTAATGTTTATGAAAGAAGTCTATAATGCTCACAAAGCCTGCATTTATTTGATCAAAATATAAGAACAGTAATATTATTGAATATCTTTTTCCATTTAAAATAACTGTTCAATCATTGCATGTTAACTCACAGAGGTCCCCAGGTAAAAATAAAATACATAAATAAATTCTGGTGAAAGAAATAAAGAAGAAAGGCAAAATATTGTGTATATACTGACTAATCCACTATTTTGTAGTGCCAGATTTATTACTATTAATTACAGGAAGGAAATTGACTTTAGAAAGATGGCAGTATCATTATTTTATTTTTACGCTGAGATTAGTGGGTCGATTTG